GTTCCACGGGTGCAGGTCATGCCCGTGAACATGCGCGATGTGCACGTCCACGCGCGCGCACGCGCTGCAACAAAACGTACGTGACACGCGCAATGTGTCGCTCGGCCTTGCTGTTCGAACGTCCGTTCTGAAAATCAACGGCATTGACACTGTCCGACCATATGTATATCGGAAGGTCCCCTTCATGTCCCATGGAGGCCAGCAAGGCCCAAGCGATCCCCAACAGTTCTACGTCTGTGCTGTTTGTTTTTGGGGGAAGGGGCATGTCGCGCGAAAGACTCCAGCTACTACAAAGGAACCCCCCGTAGGAGTGACCGCCCCTGTCTCTCGGAACAAAGGCAACGGCCCAACTTGCCGATTCGGGGTCAGAGCTGTCGAGAGACGCGTCTGCGTAATAGTGTAGTTCCGTCCAGGCCGCTAACCTGGGAGGGCACTGTTCAATGGCATACCTCGCTGGCTCCCCAAAAACGGGGATGTCGTCGAAGCGCCAGTGAACTCTCGGCGACGGTTGGCACGGCATCCAAGCGGGAGAAAGAAGCCCAAGTTCACAGTAGAGACTGGACGAGAGATGACGAGCACTGGAGCGGTCATGCTTCTTTTCCCGATGGCTCACACATGCTGGAGCGGCATAGGAACAAAGAGGTAGAGCGCCTCGAGAGAGAGAGGTTCTCCGCTCACGGAGCCCCCTGGCGCTTCGACCTCCCCCCTTGGAGTGGCCAACGCGATAGGGGCCCCCCTGGGTTCGGGGTCCGAATCGAGGGGGAGAGGGGCCCCACAGGCGCTCGAATTGCATGCGCTGAGTTCACGCTCTGCTCCATCCGAAACTGCCTTGCTGTCCTGCGTCATCTCGAAGCCGGGGAGATGGTATAAATCCAAGACTTTTGCAGAAGAAGGGCTGCCAACACATCCCGCGTGGGTTGCACTGACAGCATCAGTCAGAGGCGTGCGCAAGGGAAAATGGGAAGCTGAGCGGGCTGCCTGCGTCAAGAGAGTCTCTTGGCTGCTGCTCTTGCTTCCGCGCGTGCCGACAGCGGGGGCTGAAGACACACGAGTTGAAATCTGTATCAGGTTTAGTGTCCGAGTCGCTGCTCGCGATGTCTTGCACTAGATCCTGATCGATTATGTCTCCATCGTACTGGGGACTCGAGTCAGGGCCTGGCACTGGATCCATGTGCGGCAGCGCCTGACGTGCAGGCATCCAGCCGTCTCTGCGAGCAAGCCCCGCGGAGGGCCTGGGTCTGTGACGTGCAGAAAGGATTCCCAGAAACGACGGGCCCCTCTGGCCGCATCGTTGCACCACTGCCTGGGAAAAGGAGTGGGGATGCCCGCCTCCCTGCGCATTCTGCCTGACTGACGCGTGGCAGCGCCCCAGGCAAACTCGAACTCTGCGCGCCAGGCATCTGAATCATCAACTTTCAGCCGTGTAAGCCTGCGTATGTATTGACGACGCTCCGGTCCTGCGAGGCACCAAGCCTCCTGGCATATTTCTCTTGCCGAATCGCATCGCTGCCCGACTGTGAGGCCCAAGTGACGCAGAGTGTCACTGGTCCTGATCTGCTCAGCGACCCATTCTACGCAGTGCCCTAGCCAGTCATCTAAGGCATGGTCGGTGCCCCAGACTATGGCAACGATGGCCCAGGGGCGAGCTAGTCCTGATAGGGTTCTGGCCAAAAAGCGGCCCGCCCTGGCCGCAGCATCACTTATTCCTGCAGAGCGGCGAGGGGAGTGGGGGGTGAGACACGAGGCGGACAGACCACTCGCCTCCTGCCTGGAGATGCTTTGCGCGGGCTGCAGGGGGAAAAATTCGGGCAGCGAGGGACCCCCAGGACCCAGAGCTGTCTGGTGATCAGCGAAGGCTGGTGCTGTCACGGTAAATGAATTATTTTGGCTCGCTGTCGTTGCACATGTGTCTACGACTGACAGTGCAGCGATGCCCGATGCTCCGGGCTGCGGGCAAGTGTGAGAAGAAATGCCTTCAGAGGAGGAAGCTGTGGACTTCGTGCGCGACGGCGAGCAGGATGAGCATGCTGTGGACGCTGAACGAGCTGGCGTCGGTATGCTTGCCATCGCGCATGAGCGCTCCCGCGGGTAGTACTCGTAAACTTCAACTTCTCCAAAATTGACTAGCATTCGTCGCGGCCGGCATCTGTCATCTGATACTTGCGAGGCGGCTGATCGAATGCTTCGGGGGCTGTCCTTGCCTTGTGCTCGACCAGCTGTACTTTCATCTGGCCTGTCTTGGGGTCGAGCGAAGATTGAGCTCCCTGAAGAGGTGGCGACTCCTGAGAATGAACTCCTGCAACCTGGGTCGGCGCGAAAGAAGCTGGATCCTCCCATGGCGTCTCTGGCTGACCCCACATCTGAGTCGGTCCTGGAAAAGTATTGTCCTCTTGATTGGCTGCTGCATGGCTCTCTTCTGGAACTGGGATGGCTGCTGCTGACGTCTGCCGCGGCACTGTCGGTACTGCTGGCGGTGCTATTGGCGGAGGCACTGCCTTGACTGCAGCTCTCGTCGTCGGCATCTCGGGCTGAGCCACTGCTGGTCTCAGCGTCATTCCCTGGTACTGGGGCCCACTGCCTCCTGGCTGGAAAACAGGAGCGCATCCGACGTTCTGGCACAGCCTGGCCAGCACTGCCCCTAGTTCTGCATCCGTGAAGCCCGTGCTCGATCCTGGCGGGAGAGCGTGGGCTGGCTGCTGCTGCTGCGCGCCCCCGTGCTGCGGGGGCGCTTGGGGAAACCCCACTGCTGGCGTCCCTGGGGTAGGACATGGCCCCACGGGCGCTGACATTCCCTGTGGGAGATAGGCGCTCATGAATGCATTCATATGCTGCATCTGCTGCTGCATCTGAGCCTGAACTGCGTGCATATGAGCATTTGCTTCTCGTAGGGCATGATTCTCCTGCATATAGATGCTGGCTTCTGCACCATGCTGCTGCCTCGGCGCTCTCGGAGGCGGGCCCGATGGGGGCGCTGACGGCGGAACTCTGACTGCCTCCGAGGCTGCTCCGCCTCCCTCCTCCGTGTGCATGGGCGCCTGCTCGATCAAATCTCTCATCTCGTTCGCGATCTTGCCATCGATCTCCGTGAGAGCCTGGTTGAGATCGTCGACTTCGTCTCGCAGCTCTTCGGTCTGTGTCTCAAGCAAGTTGATCCTTGCATATGTATTGTGCAAGTGTTCCTTCGCTGTGGCAAGACGTTCCACAGCTTCCTGTCGTTGATCTTTGAGCGTTTTGAGCTGATTGGCCGCATACTTCAACATGGCTAACTCCTCTTTGACCTCGTCGTCTGGCTTTCTGGCGCGGACAGCTGAGACCACAATTTTCCCAAGTACCTGCATGCGGCTGTGAAGACGATCTCGATATGCACGGTAGTGCCGTGTGTCCTCTGGCTTATTCCACTCTAACCACTGAGGGTGGGATTATGCATAGGCTTATGTGGCTGGGACGATTCTGTCGAGATGCTTGCCCAGAGCTTTGTGCATCTCGTGGGCCTCTTTGTCCTGCTTGGGCTCTCGATCGCGATCCTTGTCCCTGCGATCCTTGTCCCTGCGATCTCGATCGTTCGGCCTTGCCTTGGGCTGAACCGATACCCAGGGCTGACGTGGCCTGCTGTACTCTCGTTCTGCGGCTCGAGCTTGGGACTGCTGGCGATGGCGGCTTGGCTGGCGACTTCGTCGAGCTCGATCCGCAAACTGCGATCCACACGATGAGCATTCCCATAGGCGCCCATCTACGTGTGTGTGTGACACTGCCCGCATGTTCACCCTGGCTTTTTTCCTGACATCTCTGACGAGGTATGTCGTGGCTGCTGAGCACTGTGGTGGATCGAGAGGAGATCTCGGGCCTGAATAGCACTGAGCAGGAGCCTGGCTGCGTGGCGGGCGCGGCGCTGTCGCCGATGCCAGCCTGCCTCCTCCTCCTCCTCCTCCTCCTCCTTCTCCTCCTCCTCCTCCTCTCCTCCTCCTCCTCCTCCTCCCCCTCCTCCCTCCTCCTCCTCCTCCTCCCCTCCTCCTCCTCCTCCTCCTCCTCCTCCTCCTCCCTCCTCCCCCCTCTTTCTTCCCCTCTCCTCCTCCTCCTCCTCCTCCTCCTCCTCCTCCTCCTCGTCCTCCTCCCCCTTCCCCTCCTCACCCTCCTCCTCCCCCTCCTCCTCCGCCTCCTCCTCCTCTTTCTCCTCCTCATCCTCCTCATCATCATTCTCCTCATCCTCTTTCTCCCTCCTCCTGCTCCTTCTCCTCCTCCTCCCTCCTCCTCCTCCTCTCCTCCTCCTCCTCCTCCTCCTCCTCCTCCTCCTCCTCCTCCTCCTCCTCCTCCTCCTCCTCCTCCTCCTCCTCCTCCTCCTCCTCCTCCTCCTCCTCCTCCTCCTCCTCCTCCTCCTCCTCCTCCTCCTCCTCCTCCTCCTCCTCCTCCTCCTCCTCCTCCCCCCCCCTCCGCCTCCAGAGACCCGGCAATTGGCCGAACCTTCCGAATGTGCCCCCCCCTCCCCGCATCGCCCCCTCGAGGGCCGGGGCCAGGGAGGACGAGGCGGAGGAGCGAGAGAGGCCCAATTTCTGACCAGTATGGCGGTTGTCCGTGCGCGGCCCCGAGGGGGCCTCGACCTCTTCCCCCGGGCCAGTTTGCCGTCCAGGATTTGGGGGACGCGCCATCGGGAGGCGATAAATGGAGGGGCAGCGAGGGCTGCAGAAAGGGAGCCCTGTCGGCCCGGGGCCCTTTGGAGCCCCAGAGGAGGCCTTCAGGGTCCGAAAGGGGCACCTTCCTTCCCCCTCCATAGATGTCTCCCCCTTTCCATTCGCGCCCGAAGGATCCGCTTTTTCTTCATCGCCCGAGGGCCCCTCCCCGGGCCCCAGGGGCCGAGTCGATGAAAAACGGCCAGACTGAAATGGCATGCCGTTGGAGATCAAGGCTGGCAAGCCCGTGGCTGCTAGAACGGGGCTCAGGGAGGACCGTTTTGGCAGCCACGGATATGCGAGCCCTCGCCAAGCTTCCGACTGGGGCGCCATCAGGCATGAACGGTTTCCCGCTGTTCATGCTCCAGCAGTACGCCGGAGCGGCGCAGAGCGGCGAGATCCTCACCTCCCACTACGTCCCGCCGGCCGCGATGCGGCGGGCAGTGCTCTCAGCCAGTCGAGCCGGCGCTGGCGACGGCAGCAACGACGACGGCGGCGGCAGCGAGGGCGACGGATGGGGGGGGAACAGTTGGAGGGGCCAGGCTCCTCTTCTTCCTCCTCCTCCTCCTTCTCCTCCTCCTCCTCCTCCTCCTCCTCCTCCTCCTCCTCCTCCCCGTGCCGACGGGAGGCTGCAGCCCTGGGGGGAGACTGCAGTGGACACACGGGGCGCCTGTAAGGGGGCTTGTTTGTCAAGCCCCCGATGAGCACCACCGCAGTGCCCCCCTGGGCTAGGCCCCCCTGGGCGACAAAGGCATAATCCGGGCCTTGGAAGGCCTGCCCTTGCACGTCCCCTACCCCGCCTTCCCTCCCTGCCCTCCTCTCCTTCATCCGGTGGGACGCCGAGCTGGACGTCCGTCCTCTTGCTCATCCTGATCCTCCCGATCCCCCCTCGCAGGACTCCTCCGCTGGTCCTCCCTCCACCTATCGATGTAGGAAGTGCCGCGCCGTGAATATAGTAGTTGCCACGCCGTGGATGTAGGAACTGCCACGCCGTGGATGAAGGAATTGCCACGCCGTGGATGTACGATTGGCCACGCCGTGGTCGTCGACCTCCTCTTTGGTTCTGGATGTAGGAATTGCCACGCCTTACATTTAGAGATTGCCACGCCGTGGATGTAGGAATCGCCACGGGTGGTAGAAGGCATTGCCACGCCGTGGATGTAGGCATTGCCACGCCGTGGATGTAGGACTTGCCACGCCGTGGATGCAGGAGTTGCCACGCCGTGGATGTAGGAATTGCCACGCCGTGGATGTAGGAATTGCCACGCCGTGGATGTAGGAATTGCCACGCAGGACTTGCCACGCCGTGGATGTAGGAATTGCCACAGCGTGGATGTAGGAATTACCACGCCGTGGATGTAGGCATTGCCACGCCGTGGATGTACGCATTGCCACGCCGTGGATGTAGGAATCGCCACGCCGTGGATGTAGGAATCGCCACGCCGTGGATGTAGGAATTGCCGCGCCGTGGATGTAGGAATTGCCAGCCCTCCCCGAGAGTGAACCGCCCTTCTCGAGAGGGAGCTGCCCTCCAAGAGAGGGAGCCGCCCTCCACGAGAAGGAGCCCCCCTCCAAGAGAGGGAGCCGCCCTCCACGAGAGGGAGCCGCCCTCCGCGAGAAGGAGTCGCCTTCCAAGAGAGGGAGCCGCCCTCCACGAGAGGGAGCCGCCCTCCACGAGAGGGAGCCGCCCTCCAGGAGAGGGAGCCGCCCTCCAGGAGAGGGATCCGCCCTCCACGAGAGGGAGCGCCCCCCACGAGAGGGAGCCGCCCTCCACGAGAGGGAGCCGCCCTCCACGTGAGGGAGCCGCCCTCCCCGAGAGGGAGCCGCCCTCCCCGAGAGGGAGCCGCCCTCCACGAGAGGGAGCCGGCGGTTTCAACGCAGGCCCTCTCCTCCTCACCTCCCCCACTTGTTTCTATGGCTGTCGGTGGGTGTGCCTTCCACCTTTTCGACCGAGCGCGGGCTGGGGCGAATGCCATTCCCCCGCCACGCCAGGAGAATAGGGAAGTGTTGTGTCCAAGCGTGGACTGGGATGGGATTTTTCTTCCCCTCACTCTCCTCACCTTTAGCCTCGCCGCCCTCGACGAAAGGGAACCGCCCTCCACGAGAGGGAGCCGCCCTCCACCAGAGGGAGCCGCCCTCCACGAGAGGGAGCCACCCTCCACGAGAGGGAGCCGCCCTCCGCGAGAGGGAGCCCGCGTTTTCAACGCAGGCCCTCCCCTCCTCACCCCCCCCATTGCCCTCTACGAGAGGGAGCCGCCCTCCACGAGAGGGAACCGCCCTCCACGAGAGGGAGCCGCCTTCACGAGAGGGAGCGCCCCCCACTATAGGGAGCCGGCGTTTTCAACGCAGGCTCTCTCCTCCTCACTTCCCCCGCTGCCAGCCCTCCACGAGAGGGAGCTGGCGTTTTCCAACGCAGAGCCTCTTCTCCTTACCTCCCCCACTCACCCCCTCCCCCTTCTCTCTTCTCCCTCTTCCCCTTCCGTAGCCATTGGCTCAAGGTTTTGGTGTCTGCGTTGACACAAGGATGCCGCTAGTCCGCGGCAGTCTTCGACTTTCTGTGAGCTCCTGTGGGAGCAACCCTTTTGTGAGGAGCTCCTGCTGGAGCGGATGGTTCAGTATGGCAAGGGCTTCTCAGTGTGTGCTACGCGCGGGAACTGGCATTGGCACTGGAGGCTCAAGGAGCAGAAGGGTGTTTGCAAGGTCTGTGACACTCTCCAACCTGGCTGGATCTCGTCTGTGCAGGGGACCTGGTGGGCGCCATGGAGTTCAGGCAACGCTGGGCAGAGTTGGAATACCCGTTCTGCTTCCCCGTCCCCGACTGGGAACCTCGGCGCCCTCCTCCAGCAGGCGATCGAGGGCGCGGGCCTGGACGGCGACCCCGAAGCTGCACGGCTCGCGAAGGAGTTCGCCAGCCTTGCCGAGTCCAAGAAGGCTGCGTGCGCCCCCGCGCCGAAGCCCACGCACGCGCTGCTCAAGGAGGCGACTACCGCTTGCTCCCGCAAGCAGGAGGCGCTGGAGAGGGCAGCCAGCCATCCCGAGGCCGCCAGGCTGCGCTTCGAGAAGGCGCAGGCCGACTTCGACACGGCCGCCAAGGAGGTCATGGATGCGGAGTTGCATCGCCTCGAAGTGCAAGAGGCTGCTGCTCCTGTCGAGACCAAAGCGAAGGCACACTTCCAGCTCGACCCTGAGCTGTTCAAGTGCTTCGACGAGCTTGCGGAGACGGCTCGGGCTGCCCTGGAGAACTTCCAGAAGCAGCTGGCGATCGTCAGCGCGCAGGCCGAGGCGAAGCAGCAGGAGTTTCAGAGCTTGCTGGACCAGGCTCGCAACGCGCACAAGGAGGCTGCTGCGAAGCGCCGCAGGCGTGGCGCCTCGGGCGCTGCCGTGCCTGGCGGCGAGGAGGCCGCGGAGCAGGCGCCCGCCAGCGGCGACGCCGCGAGCAGCTCTGGGATCGCGGCGGGCCCGAGCAAGGCCAAGGTCTTGCTCCCGCCAGAGCAGCAGGCTGCCTTCCCCGAGCGCATCCAGGGCGACGCCAGCAAGCACGCCAAGGACAAGGCCACGGCCGCTGTCAAGGGCGCTGCTGCAGGCAAGGGCAAGGCTGCGGCGGGCAAGGGTGCCGCCCCCGCCCCTGCTCCAGGGCAGCCTGTTTAGCCTGGTCACCGACGCCCGCCGCTGCAAGGGCGAAGTTGCAGCATCTCATGTACCTGTACCAGATGGGTCCGAGGCCACAACCTTGGACACCTTCTTCGGCAACATCACGGAGTGGGGCCCGCAGGCGGCTCGCTTCCTCGCCCAGGAGCAGGCGCGCGCGATCGTCGCCTTCGTGGAGACCCACAAGAGCGAGAAGGACATGGAGGACATCTGCCAGGCCGTCGACAAGGACGGCTGGGGGTTGTCGTATACGGCTGCTCGAGCTTCGGGCAGGTCTGAATTGGGATTGTCAGGCGGGGAGTGGATACTCGCCAAGAAGCATATGGCTACTACGAGCTTTGACAGGACTCGTCGCGCTGCTCGTGATGCTGGTCGCCAAGACCCGTGCAAGGGGTTCGTGCCAACGGTGATCCACGCGCAGAGCGGCAATTTGGTTTTGGCGTCTGCCTATTTGCAGCCAGGTTTGGGGCCTTGGCGGACCCCTGGCTGGCGATGGCAGATTGGAACATTGATCCTGCCGGGTTGCGTGCGACGGGCTGGCCAGAGAAGCTCGGAGCTGCTGTTGTCACGCCTTCTTGCCGCACTACATGCGACAAAGGTCAAGGTTGGATGTACGACTACGGCTTGGCCAGTATTGGTTGCCCGTCACTCTCGTTGAGGCCTGAGGCCCGAGCACCTTGGAAGACGCACTGTGGCGTTGTGGTTAATGTCGGGGCTGCTCGCACGCAACGTCGGTATAGGCATCTGGCTGTTCCTCGAGCGCTCCCGCCGAGAGAGCGCCCCTGTGTTCCGGCTGACCCGAACAGCAAGCGCCCTCGGAAGCGCGAGCAGCAGAGGCAGCGTCGGTTGGAAGCTTTGCCAGCTGAGCTACATGAAGCCTTTGATGAACTCGTTCCTGCTGAAAAGGTGCCGCAGCCAACGGTGTCCTTTGCGATTCCTTCGGGGGCGTGGCGTGAAGCTCAGTTGCAGATTTACTGGGAATGCACTCCTCGACTGCTTGACTCCACGCCTGAAGGTGAGCGGGGTAAGTTTGCTGCGCATGCTCGGCGCCGACACTTTGTTTTCGAGTGGCAGAAGGAATGCAGGCAGCACTTGGACGGGCTGTATGGCACTTGGATATCGACCCTGGAGAGGTCGACGTTGTTGCATGAAGAGATCGACACAGTTCCGTGGAACCAGTATTCAGGTCGTGCACGTGGCCCTGGTGCGTATTGGTCCAAGTTGTCTTCCTCCCCAGGTCGTGCTCATATTAAGAATGTACAGGCCGAGTGGTGGGGGGTTTTCAGCACTTTGATCGCGCGTTGCCCTGCGCTACGGGCGAATCGATCCGATTCGAAGCAGGCCGAGGGCTGCGCCTCGGGAGTTCGCGCTAAGGTGCTGGCCTTGGAAGTTCAGCAGCATGCCGAGTTCTTTGAGCGCAAAGCTGTGCCTGGGGTTGTTGATCAGTGGAAGGATATGGCATCAGCTGCTGCCCTCTTTCCTCGAGAAGACCAGGCACTGGGCGGACTTGCCAACCTCCAGGGCAATGCTGGCTTCGAGGTCATCGTTCATGAAGTGGGCGCAGGAGATGTGGAGCACCAAGCCTAGTGCAGTTAGTTCACCGCCATGTTAAGCAACCTCAGGCACTGGAGTGGGAAGCTCTGGATTCTGCGGGCAATATGACCACTGACAAGCACACGTTGCTGCAGACTTCAGCTACTGGATGGAATGCTATGTGTCGGGGTCCTGTCGACAGTCCTGCTGATATTAAGTATATGATGGAAAGGTGCTTGCAAGTTGTCAAGGACGACCCCTTGCCCCCGATATCGCTGCAGGATGTCGATGTTGTCTTGCCTGTGCTTCCTGCTAAGGAAGCGAGGGGTGTC